CCTCCGGGGCAGGCGGGGATCGAACTGGCGCTGTAGTGGCTTCAGCTTCTCAGTGCTGCGTTCACCCGCTGCGCCACCAGGGAGGGCCCCAGAAGTATGTTTTTTATGTCAAAGAATGAAAACATACTCGCGCACTTTGAGAAACTTTCATATATGGATAGGGATTTTCATGTATAATTATAAGGCAATCTTTTAAAATAGACATAGTAAAAATATTCCACATTAAGCTTTTAAGGACCTAGTGAGTTATGGTTGTTTTATAATACAAATATATGTCCTCAGTAATCAAATATAGTTTAAATGTTTCAGTTCTGTGAACTCTTCTTTATGTCATCAAGCATTTCAAAGTCTGAAGGACTAAAGTAAAATCAATAAGCATTTGAATGCATGCTATTTGTACAAAACAGCATTTAAAATTAGAATACCAAGCATTTCCAATATCACCGAAGATAAGAACAATGCAGCAAGGCAATACTGTTCTCAAGGAGACTACAGCAAGTCTGGTCCATGATAAATTACGGAAATGGTGATTATGCAGATAAGAATAATGGCTTTAAATTCCCTAATGAATGATGAGTCGAGTCACTGACAAGAGCAATCAAAACATGTTCCATATGCGATTAACAACACTCAAATGTGACACTGACAAACACCGCCCAATTTATACCACAGTAGAGCTGCAGCCATCTGTAGCCGCGACCCTCTAGGTTACGAGAAATGGGGGACACGAACGAAAACAGGGTCTCACGCTTCCACTTTGTCCTCGCTGCTTTGCCTGGAAGGTTCGTATTTCGGTGCTAACACAGTGGCAGGGCTGGAGATGGGAAGTCAGGAGGAGCCCCCCCCCCCGGCACACGCACCCACACGAACACGGGTGCGCAGACAGAACACAGCAATTCCGCACACGAACTCCCTCACCACTGAGGCAGCAGGCAGAGTCATTCTGCTAATGTGCACACCCCACTCATTTCACAGCACACCGCTACGCACCCGCGACGTGCCAGACCCTGCTGAGCAGCGGCACCCACAGAAACCCACTACAGGGTGCGGCCAGGCGGAGGCTCCCGTCTAGAGACTCGCGAAGCCAAGTCAAGTCACCACTCAACTATCAGCGAGGCTGTTGCAAGTAACAAACTTCTGCACACTTGGAAGAAACTGAGTGAGATCTAATAGCCCTGCTATGGCAAACTGTATTAATCATCCAACTCACAGGAAAACAAACTGCCTCGCTCCCTCAGACTGACTGTGTCTGAATCTAATCTCAGTTTATAATTAGCGTATCAGCGTGAGGGAAGCATCTGGGTTTCTAAAACACTGATAAAACTGACAACAAAATATTTTACCCAGCGAGGTCGGTTGTTTTGGGAGGCGGCGGCCATTCCTCGGGAGAATGCAGTCGCCCACCAGGGTGGACCCCTCCTGGCGTTAGACCTGAACTAGGGGAAGATAATCTACTAAAACGTCAAACTCTTTAGTATCTGGTAAGTAGGCACAGCTTCAAAAAGAGACCATGTTTATTGCATCACACTAACAGACCACTTTTGGAACAGAGTTGAGGCTCAGAGCAAAAGAAAAACAGAAATAACCACTTTAGCTTCATAAGCCCAAAAAACACCAGGAAAACTCACTTCTGTGCAAGGTCATCCTCCCAGCTACCCATCATGGCTGCTTAAATAGAACCAAAATTGAGACATTGCAGCCAAAATTGTGGCATTTAAACCCTAAAGGGAAGCAACTGCTATTGAAATTCCAAGTTTGATTCAGGGTGCGAAAATTGACCTTATTTGCTAGAGTACATTCATGTATAATAGAATGCATAGCTCTGAAATAAATTTCTTTCTTCAAATAGTAGGAACGAACCAAACTTGCATTAGTATGTGATGAATAGAAAATTTCTGGTTTATTCTCTGGGGGAAAACATGTTCAGTAAATAGAAAACTAGAAAACAAAATGTTTGTGAATTCTGTGCTCAGACTGAGGATTTTTTTAGGAAAACGGCTGGCCAGTTTAGATGCTTACTCCAGGAAGAAATCTGTCTTGAAATCGTCAGTGGAAGTGCCCACCCTCTTGCAGGGATGAGGTAAAGCTCAGGGGTGAAAATGACCTCCAGAGCCTTGCAACCCCAACTGTAGGCCAGGGCCAGCATTCGCCTCACAAGGGAGCGTGTTAGCGTGCTGAACCCCGAGCAGCGTCCAGCCTGCCTCTGCAAGTCACCCAGTGACCTGTGTGCGTGCGGGAGTTAAGAAGCGTGGGCTCAAAGGGACAAGTCACGGCGGGGCGCAGAAGCCACTGCAGACTGCATGAGCTTGACCTCCGCGGTGGCTCCAAAGGCATGACTAGCCTCAAGGTGGGCTCCACATCGGTGCACAGTGAGTAACAGGACACTACGCGCAGGGCTGGGGGTAACTCACTCATCCAGCTCCTCTTGCTGAGCTCTGGACTACCAACCAAGCGACGTTGGAAATTCATGGCTCGAGGTGACAGAGCTGTCCTCACTGCGCTGAGAGAGACGCACATGGGTGGCCTTTCGCTTGCACATGGCCTGCCACTCACTATGTCTGCTGATCCAGAGAGCCATCACGATAAGCCCAGAACTCCCACACTTAAAATCTGCACCTGTAAGTTCTCATCTACAAATCAGAAAATCTGGCAACGCCAGACCCGGCAGGGCACCAAGCCAGGTCAAGGTTTGCACTGTCCTGCTGCGGTGCTGGCCAGACGCGCCAGCCTTCTCGCTAGCCTCCCTGACCGCAAGCCGCCATTTTGTCCTTTTCCACTGGTCCTCACACGGCTCAGCCGATGTGGACTCACCGTCCAGGCGAGAAATTCAGAGAGAGGAGCCACAGTGCTCCCTGCACTGGGTCACAGAGCGGGTGAATCACTTCAGAGGAGCGTTTCCTCGTCTTACATGCATCGTGGGGCGTCACAACTCATTCCAGCTCAGATATTCCAACTATTTCCTGGCACAACTGGACCTCACCGTCATCAACAGGAAAAGCAAGAGCAGGCTCAGCGCCACGCACATGTGAGTCTTCGGATTCACGTCCAAGATCAGGACACTCCAGGGCAGTTCTGAGGGCATGTGCCTTTGCCCTTTCTGTCCAGGAACCTCAGGAGATAACTCAATAAACATAATAAACGAATGAATGTTTCAAGGTTTCTGAATTTTAAAAAATACGGAGATTTTTGAATAAATGTGTTTTCACTAGTAGCAGGTAGATGAAGACTATGCATTTGCTATCTGCCTCTACTTGAGTTGGTGGCAAAACCATTTTATTTCAGGGACTGCGCAAACATGCAACAAATATGACCGAAGAGCCGAAGACCCTGGCCAAACCATTTGTTTTGCAACAAAACAGTACCGTGCAAAGAAGACAAGCAGGCGAAATCGAGTTACTAGATTTGTGCTATTTAATTTTATGTCCCCACCAAGTCTCCAGTCACTGCCATAGTCATTAACATTGTTATCATCGTCAGCACCTCAAGCTCGTAATACTGCACAACTCTGATGGAGCCACTTACTTATGGAACATTTTCTGTATTTTCTAGAAGCCCCTTGACATCCTAAATCAAGGAATGACCCACAACTCTCTCCCACACCTCACAAGCCATGATGCTTAGCAAGTTTGGCCCCCGGGGGAAAACTGCATCTTTGTCTTGAAAACGACTAGGAAAAAAAAA